ACTGTATAACTTTAACAATGACTTATTTCAATGAACTAATATCTCAGTATATTATGAATCAATATCTTTCAGCATGTTATTACATACCATCGAGCATATGTATCTCACGGAGACTATATTTATCACATAATTAGCTATTAGAAAATAATTACACAAAATAAAATAAATCAGTAGATTCCAGCCTTGGCTAGCCAGCAGCGTTCTTGGCTAAAGTTCCCAGAGTCATCTGCAAGTCAATAAATGGCAGGGAATTCTGGGAAATATTGTTTAACAACAACTAGACAGCCAAAGTTGTCAACCCAACTTTTATAGAACTTATTCACCAAACAGTAACTTGTGAGTTGATTAAATTTACACTAAAACAATTTTAACAGAGTTCGTTGTTTTGATCTTTATTTATTAAATTAGATCTTTTGACCCAAATTTTCCGTGTTGGTTCTCAAGTCTCCTGAATTCCTTAATGTGATAGACAGTGAGTAGAGAGCTCAATGAGTTTTATGAGATATCAAGTGCCGCTATAGGGTCGGAACCAAGCAATTGACCAGACACCTTAAAATGGATGTCAAAAAGTCTCCATCCAAGCTGTCAAAAAAAAACACGTCTTCATTCTTCAACAGTATATAGGCTGTAGACAACAGGTCAAAGAGGTTGGAGGGGAAGCAAATTCTGATGAAGTTGGGATTGAGATGAGACTTTTTGATTTCCTCTATGGGATCTGGTGACCTGCTTGGTTGGTGTTGATACGAAGGAGTAGACTTTGCACGGTCCTCTGCGAATGTAACTATTTTAGGTCTCAATTTAATAAGCTTTCTCAGTGAATCAATACTTCCCTAATGATTATTCTATACACATTTACAGACTTTAGCGCTGACTTTTGTAGATAAAAAATGTGTAACGTTTTTCCAACGGTATAAAATTATTTGGAAAACTTATTAAATCAAGGTCTTAGTAACATATTGTTTCCGTGATCCTGCTGAGCCAACCCAGAACTATGTGGGTTTTTTACCGTAGAGTTATCTCATCAAGTAGATTTGTTATATGTGATAATGTTTTCTTCTGGAAGGTATCTAAGTTTTCCTCATCTCTTCCACCCATCGCACAGCGCAGTGTACTATGTTGGGGCGTTATAAATGATGATCATGTTAATAATAATGTTTCAGTCTTGGTCTGCAGGTATATTTAGTGAATCGTTACCTGCTTGGCTCATGTTTTGTCATTACCTCCTATCAGCTATCCAATTACCCATTTCTTGATACCAAAATGCCTGTTCTGGTAATGCATCTGCTTCGTCACAAAACTCTAACCCTAATCTCAGTAACTGTAAACACCTCAATTGTATCACAATACTCTCGCCTACCTTTTCAGTGCTCACAAGCATGCTTCTTAATTGGATCAGCTGTCTGCCTGTTGCATACTTTGATAGGCAATAAAAGCACAACTGAACACAAGGCTCGGATATACTTTGAACCGATCAAATGGCTTTGTTAATTGGGAGTAAACATGTGCTTTGATAGCATAAGGAAGCCGTTATTCCTTATGTGATCTTACATTCTTCCGTTATATCAACTCTGTCCAACTGTTTTATGATAGGGAGTGTCGTATATCATTCACAAGCCTGGCTCCTGGGCTGGTCCTCATAAAAGTTGTGATTAATTCAGCACTAGATAGTTCTTTTGCACTTCAGCTGTTGTAGACTACACCTCCCAAGATGCTTAGCCAACAATGGCTATCACAGCTGTGAAACGTGTTGTAAGTCATATATAGCGGCAACTACTGCACAGAGTCCCAGGAGGAAGCGTTTCTCAAGTAATTGAGTTAATCAAACAAGAGCAGGCATTAGACATTGCTAGGATAAGACCTGCCAAAAATGGTGTAGATTTGCATTGCGGAGTTGTGACGCTGTGGAGTTGGCATTGTGGCTGCTTTGCAATGTATGATAGTGTATCTAAACCTTCATTGTTTTAGCCCAAGTTAAGTGTTTAAACGAAGAAGTGAGAGCTCTGGATCTTGATTTGTAGCACCAACTAATACCACAGCGTTGGATACAAAAGGTATTATAACAAAACGTGTGGGATTTTAAATTAAGATAAAGCCATTTAATCTCTCTCTGGTCTTGTCCAATACCCAGGCCATCAAATGGATATGTCAATATTAGTCATTTGATATTTGTGCATTACATGAAATTTATTACAGCCTCTTGGGGTGCCTAAACCTATTATGCTTACAGTATGCTGAAATATGGAACAGCATATTAAAAGAAGACTCAGAGCACCATAACTACTACAGCAGTAATCGTGCCAGCCACGCAGAGGCCGGCGTTCTCCCACAGTAAGCAAGTAAGTATTCAATCATTTTAATATGCTTGCGGTATTCTCCTGCCGTAGAATTTAGTTGCTCTACAAAGCAAGAACGTCACCAAAGTAGCCTCAACCAATGAGCGTGGTCGTGCTCTATTCTTTAGAGACATCCGTAATCTCCTGCAGAAGAAGACAGGATTTAGTGTCGGTGCGTGGGGTACCCAGGTAAGCTGTCAAATCATACTAAATCGGTTTGACTACATACAATGGGCAATCCTGGCACCATAACTGCTACAGCCAGCTGTAGTAGTTATGGTGCTTGGCATGTTCATTTTAGTATTGATAATAGGAAACGTGCTTACTTGAGAATGTCCTATTGAATCTTTTGATGAGGGATGCACTACAACTTGCTGTTTACCTAATAAAGCATGAGGAGTATTAGTGAATAGCTACATTTATTTATAAACTATAGAATATATAGTTCATAAATAAAACTAACTTTTTTGTTATGTTATTGCTACAAAAATATAAAAAAGAAAAACGATAGATAGATAGATAGATAGATAGATAGATAGATAGATAGATAGATAGATAAAATAGACCTCTATTTTATCGGGGGGGGGGAAAAACAAGATTAAAGTAGGGATAATTGTGGGACAAAATAGACTTCATCAATTAAAATAATTAAGTTGATTCTACAATCCTGGCTTAACCATGCAATATGGAATTTAGTTAATTAAAAACCTTATAACAAATTCTATGGAGGAAACCATGTTTGACAGCTCTGTGGCACCAGCCAGCGAGTCCAACCTCAACCTTCTGTGAATTAATTTTTGGCCACAACCCCAGTTATGCATAGATAACTTAGGAGCACTGAACAAAATGGCCACCTCGTTTATACTCAATGGGAGCTCATATTAAAAACGTTTGGTTTATGATCATTATTTACCATACAGCTGTCAATCAAACGTCTAATTCAATATAGTTGAGGTTTCAGATGTCTACAGGAAGCCATCTGATATGTCATTACATCATAATATATACTTACCAAGTGAAATGTACTCTTTATGTGTCTTTCATGACTTAAAAAGGACAACAGCAGGGGTAGGCAATCTTCGGTACTCAAGATGTTGTGGACTACATCCCCCATAATACTCTTACAGCCATAATGCTGGCAAAGCATCATGGGAGATGTAGTCAACATCTGGAGTGCCGAAGGTTTCCTATACCTGGACTATACATTTACGACATATGCGTTAAAGTGAGTAGAACATTTAAACTGTTCTCAAAATCTTCCTTTAATCTGTTTGTAGTATTGTATTGTAACTCGGTTGTTTAACAAATAAACAAAATAAAAACTTAAAAACTAGGCAAAATGGGGCGGGGCCTGACTGCAGGACTGAGAGGAAGCAAACCTCTGCAGCTCCTGCCGAACAGCACTGTAAATCGTGGAAAAAGCCACAAAAAACGGCACCACTATGCTGCACAAGGGCCATCAAGAGACTGAAGGCACCGGGACACACACGATGATACCAAACAAGCGACAACCGCCCTGGTACACTCTGGTCCTACAGATGAGGCCTACCCGCATGGTGGGTGCGGGACGGACGGCCGCCCTCTCGCCACCAGTAACACCAAGAAACGTGACTCAAAACACCCGTTCCCCCCCCTATGGACCGGTGGGGGTCATCCCGGTCTGCCCCTATGCAACTCCCCAGCAGAACGAGGAGAGGGAGACAGAGACGCAGATGCCTGAGCCTAACAATAAAGAAGACCTCAAAATGGCGGATGTACTTTACGCTGCAGGCCCAGACAGCGTGGAGCTAGAAACAGAACTCCGACTGAATACAATCTTCGATGCCTTCTGGAAGAAATTGGAGGCTCGCATGAGACCCCACGCTCCTGATTATAACTCACAATGGGGCCCACAACGAGCTGATAAGCAGAGAGTAACGATACCCAACCCCAACTACAAACACGCAGTCAACCGTCGCCTGCAAAGGGCAATCGGGGGGCCTAACACCCAAAGCCTCACCAAAAACAGCAGCAGACCAAGGCCATTAATTGCGACCGCGTGGGTACTTAAGGGGCATTGGTCTGAGCAACCTACCTTAAAAGCACACAATCAGCATGAGACCCGGCAGAGCAAGCCAGAACAGAAACGAATGGTGAGCCGACGGGTCGGGAGGCCCGACAAGAAGACCGCAACAGAGAGACTGTACAGGAGCCGCAACGGCCCGCAACAAAGCCTTGAGGAGTGCCGAGCAGTGGGAAACGCGAAAGGGACTCTATGTGCCACTACAGGCACAATGCCCCAGGACACGGGGACCACACGCACCTTTACCCCTCATTCCTACAGCAGGTCACAATCATTGCAGCTATTGGGACTCTTCCAAATTGGCATAGGCTGATCTTAAGGCACACAGCTACCGGACAGCCAAAAGACCTCAGGACACGAATGCACCCCAGATTGGCCTCAACCGGTGGTATTTTGAACCTGAGCTTGTGTTCCCTCCCTCATGTGTTTGCCTGGGCTCCCAGCGATTGCCGCCGAGACCCAGAGACACACTCGCAGTATAGTCTGACATTATATTTCAGCATGTTTATAATCGTTATCAGTTCTGTTTATAATGCCTACATCATTGATGGGCTGCACTAGTTACTCCAAAACCATGCCGCCAAAAGCAGTGGTGTTAACAGTTATTTGAATCAGACCAGTTAACCCTTGATAATGCAGAAAATACTTATGCTTAGATTACGCAGGGATGCTACCTTGACGTATAGGCAAGATGAAGCAATGTTTTTATATGTTCTTTAGCACCTTACAGCATATCTATATATAGCACACCATGTCCAGGCTCCACACACAGACCTACCTCTGCCACACTGTAACACAAGCTACCACTCCTCAAACACACTAATTTACCTAATCTAGAGCCGTTGAGCATCACCTATCCAATCTCACTCTACCTTCACGCAAACACTGCTCAGCTAAGCTTTAAGTATACATATATACGAACTGCACCCACATGTTATATAGCTCAAACCCAAGCATGTTGTATTGTTACTATTATGCTCGCACTGACCTATTATCAGTCTAGATAGCAAAGCCCCACATAACAATGTATGAAAAGCTTAGCCTAGACCTTGATCACTAGCCTACTGAATACTTCTCTATTATAAAAAAGAAAATGTGCAATGTATATTAAGCCACACTGTTGTTTTCCTTTGTTTATTGCTTTGTTTGCACTTGCTATCGTGGCACTGCAAATCTGCTTGTTAACTCATGCACAACCTAAATAAAGAATTTAAAAAAAAAAAAAAACTAGGCAAAATATTTTCAGGAATCCAATAATTCTTCCTACATTACATAATTTTTAAAGGTAAAAATGAGACAGATAATGAAAAGGCACAGTTTGTAGCGTCTAATGGGACGAAACGTAGGTGTGCACAGCCTATTTCATTGAGGTGTGCACCATGTTCTTAATTTCTTCATAATTCTCATATATAGGCAAACAGATCTTGAAAATATACCCAAAATGGGCATTTATTTCATCAAAATAAGTCAAACTTAATCATGTATTTTTTTTTTTTTTTTTTTAAACACAAATATATTCTTCAGATATAAACTTAATTAAGTAAGCATAAAATACCAGATTTTCTCTTTAGTGATAAACTGGCATATGCACAGACAGTCAGTCAATTGTTATAAAATGTAAAAAACCAAAATAATAAATAGAGACTGAATAATCACAATGCTTACACTGATCAACCACAACATTAAAACCACATGCCTAATATTGTGTAGGTACTCCTCATGCTGCCAAAACAGCTCTGATACATAGCGACATGGACTTCTCAAGACCTTTGAACATGTCTTGTGGTATCTGGCACCAAGACATTAGCAGCAGATCCTTTAAGTCCTGCAAATTGCGAGGTGGGACCTCCATGGATCGGTTTTGTTGTTCCAGCACACGCCACAGATGTTCAATCTGATTGAGATCTGGTGAATTTAGAGGCCAAGGCAAATTCTTGATCTCATTGTCATGTTCCTCAAACCATTACAGAACAATTTTTGCAGTGTGGCAGGGTGCATTATCCTGCTAAAAGATGCCACTGCCTCTCAGGGAACACCATTGTCCTAAAGGGGTGTATGTGGTCTGTAACAATCTATGGTAGGGTGGTATGTGTCAAGGTAACATCCACATAATTCCAGGACCCAAGGGTTCCCAGCAGAACATTGCCCTGAACATAAAATTGCCTTCACTGGCCTGCATTCTTCTCATAGTGCATTCTGCTGCCATCTCTTACCCAGGTAAACTACGCACACGCACCTGGCCATCCACCTGATCTAAAAGAAAACGTGATTCATCAGGCCAGTCAAACTTCTTCAATTGCTCCATAGTCCAGTTCTGACACTCACGTCCCCATTGAACGAGCTTTTGAAGGTTGACAGTGTCATTATGGGCACACTGACCAGTCTGCGGCTATGCAGCCCCATATGCAGCAAACTGTGATTCCCTGTGTATCTTGACACCTTTCTGTTATGGCCAGCTTTACGTTTTTCAGCAATTTGAGCTACAATACCCCTTCGGCCTTTGCTCCCCACATGCACCAATGAGCCTTGGATGCCTATGACCCTGGCACCAATTCAAAGGTTGCTCTTCCTTGCACCAATTTTGGTACATACTAAGCACTTCATACTGGGAACACCCCACAAGACTTGCCATTTTGGAGCTACATTGAATTGGTTGTCTAGCCATCACTATTTGACAAAATAAATCAGATCTTTTCACGTGCCCATTTTTCCTGCTTACAACACGTGAAATTCAAGAACTGACTGTTCACTTGCTGCCTAATATACCTCACCCCTTGACAGGTGACAGGTGACAGGTAACAATATAATCAATGTTATTCATTTCACCTGTCAGTGGTTTTAATGTTGTGGCTGACCAGTGTATTTGGTGAATTAAATTAATCACTGCTTCATCTGGTTTGGATACTTTTTTAACCCCCTAAGGACACAACTTCTGGAATAAAAGGGAATCATGACGGAATATTTCCGTCATGTGTCCTTAAGGGGTTAATGAGCAGTTAAAACAAGGAAACAACCGCCATGCAGTACTTGGGGGTAAAAAACATTTCTTAATTTCTCAGACCTTTTTAGATTTTATTCATACTAAATTGTTCTCCAAATATAATTATTTAATGTGAAATTAAAGCCTTATCTCACCAGAACAAAATGATATATAATAAGTGTAGGTGCACTTCATATGAAAGAGGTAAAGTATGGTTGAACGGACATATAGCTCAAATTCTATGGTTTGTTTTGGTTCAGAACTTGGACAATTGTCCCGTCTTTAAAGGGTTAAGAAGTAGTTGTTAATCTAGAGTCAATTTCGAATTTAAACTACGGAAGCTTTGAAAAGGGTTCATCCTCTAAACAGGGAATCGGGGTGAATTAAAAAACAAATTGCAAACCGTAGATAAAATTTGGTGATCTGGAAAAATGGCCAAGTTGTCAAATTGTATTGCAAATCAGCTGTTTAAGCCCGATTTAACAATGCTCCACATTATGCTGGTTAGTGGATATACCGACCAAACTTAACGGGCATGTTTACAATATCATAAAATCAAGTTTAATTATTGCCTTTGAAATTCTCGATCTTCTCGGACTCCTTCATCGATTTCCAAGATCAATGAAAGCTTGTTATTTTAGAATTTGGACCAAGAGTAAGACAAATTGTTGACTGCGCACGGCTAGCATCTGTGTTGGTTTTTATGCATCTCTCCCTATACAGCAAACACAGGGTGGACTTTTCATATGGCTAATTCAATTATAGAACACAGAGTGGAAGAGAGGACTGTCAGGCTCCGAGTTGCATTCATCAGGCAGTCTGGAAGGAGACTCTACATACTGTCCCCCTAGCTGACAGATTAGACATTAGACAATTGGGTTTTAGACACAGGCACAAAAAAAATCTTCTCCGTAGCCTCCTTTACATCCATCTGCAAAGCAAAGGCCTTCGCACACAGCTGTGCTGCCCTGAAGACTCCAAGTAGAAAAAAAGCATCCCCTACGCCTTTCACATCTTTCAGCACTACTCTGAATGAGAAAAAGGTCCCCTAAGAGATGACACAATCAACAAGGAACTGATTAACCCCTTAGAGCTTGGAGCTTGGTTTTCACAGTTAAGTCAAACAGAATTAATTGAAAATAACCTTTTATGTCCCCCCCACCTTTTTTTTTTTTTTTGCAATGCTGACGGCATTAAAATGATTTTTAAAAAAATAATGAAAATGATTCACTACTTTAAAAAAATAAAAATAAAATAAAAAACAGACAATGGATACAAAATACATGTGTCCATTAGGGTTTTATTGTAACCAGAAATACAATCCATTTTGTGCTCAACTTTTGCTCTGTTTTTGTAAGTGTTTCTGTTGAAGGCAGCAAAAACAGTTTTCATCTGCAATTTGACCGAGGGGTCGATGTACTATTGTACGACTGTATTGTAGAGAAAGTTCAAAATTAGAAATATAGTGTTTCACAAGTTTCAGACAATGTTATAAGTTTACTAAAGGCTTTAAATCGACCCTGAGTTTCCGTTAGCAGTTAAGTAGACAAAAAAAAAAATACGGACAGTGGAGTTTATTTCTGTGAGAAAATACTGAATTAATACATTTGTGTTTAACCCATAGAACCATTATTATAGGTACACTCCAAGCACCATAACCACTAAGCCAGGTGTTGCAGGGCTTAGCTCATTAGTTGAGAGCAATCAGCTGATGCTCTCAGCCAATGCGCTAACCCTGCACTGCAATGTTTAGCTTAGGAGAGATCGCGGACAGGGCACACCGGCTCTGTGGGTGCAAGATTCAAGTGATCTGGCAGGAAGGAACCAGTCACTCAATGTAGCATGGCCAAGCAGAGCGGACCGAGGTACAGGAGCTTCTGTTTCCTGCACCCGGCCGGACTGACAGGAAGTGCTCACTGAGAGACCACTTCCCATCAGACCGGGTACAGGAAACTGAAGCTCCTGTACCGCGGCTGGTCTGCTCTGCTTGGCCATGCTACAAGAGAGGTAATGAAGCACACCAGGGAGGAAAAGGGAGAGGAACACTAAAGTGTGGGGGGGGCTGGGGGGGGGGAGGAGCACTAAGAGTCATGGAGGAGAGGGAAGCACAAGGGACAGGAATGGAAGAGAAGGAAGAGAAACACCAAGGGGCAGGTGGGGGGAGCATTAAGGGACAGGGAAGGGAGGGGAGAGGAACACTAAGGACAGAGAAGGGAGGGGAGAGGAACACTAAGGGACAGGGGGGGGGAGAGGACCACCAAGGCAGGAGGGGAGAGGACCACTAAGAGACAGGGAAGGTAGGAGAGAGGAAACCACTAAGGGGGGACCATTAAGGGACAGGAAGGGGAGGTAAAACCACTAAGAGGGAAGACCACTGAGACAAGGGCGGAGTGGAAGAGATCAGTAAGAAAATGGGGAAGGGGTGAAAGAGACACTCAAATAGGCTGGTGGGGAGAAAAGAGGAAGACAGAGGGACCTGAGAGGGGAGAATGACGCACAGATGGGCTGGGGATGAAAGAGACACACAGAAGGGCCTGGGAGGGTGAAATACACAGAGGGCCTGGCAGAAAAGACACACCACATAGGGGCTGGATGTGAAAGAGATACACAGAGAGGCAGGAGATGGGGAAAAAAGATACACAGAGGGGCTCGGAGGGAGACAGATGGACTGGGGTCAAAGAAACACACACAAAGTAGCTGGGAGAGAAGGAGACACACAAAGGGGCTGGTAAGAGTAAAACACACAAAATGTGGGAAGTGTAAGACACAAAATGGGGAAAAATAGGGTATAAGATACACTAAAGCGGGTAAGACATTTAAAAGAGGGGATAAGAAACACAAAAGTGGGGATAACAGGCATACAGTTAAAGGTTGTGTTTTTTGGGGGGGAGGC